CAAAAGCGGCATTTGTGGCACGTGCAAGGTGGCTGCCAGCACTCGTGACTACGCATGAATAGAGCGGAGCGGTGACACTTGCGAGTGGTACGTAACTGCATTAAAGGCTAAGCGTCCAAATGGTCTGCAAACGTGCGCGTCGGTGGTAATGTTGTCGCTGTTTTCTAAAAAAAACATAGTGGCACATGGCTCAACGTCTTTGAACCAGCAATTTTAATATTGGACCTGAATCGGGCTGTGTTGATTACGTTCGGTATCTTCGCCCGCCCGCGCATTGGCGTTTGAGACAAATGCGCATGGACATGACGGGCTTATCTCTCTCCCGCGTTGCTAGTGCTGAACACAGCTCTGGACATTTCGTTGCTTAAATGGCGACAAAACGTCCATGTGGACGTCAACCTGCAGATTAACCCCATCATCCGGTGAATGCTTGCAGCACGTTGAAGACTTCTTTCGTGAAGAGGATAGCAGAGCTAAGGTATCCTTCCTCTTGGAGGACATCGGTGCCTTGTAGTTGATGATAATCATTGAAGTAGCAATGTCTTCTCCACCATATGTCGGATCCATGTTGCTCCAAATGTATGTGCACATGCATTTGTCCAGCGTGACGTATCCAACAAGAAACGTTAACATGCGCTTGGGTGGGAATGCAATTTGACAGCCCAAAGTTTTTCCACACTTGTTTCCGAATGGTCCAGCGTAACCGCGCCAAACTTTGCATAGGTGTGGGAGGTCGAATAGTAGCTCTCTCAGTATATGCAGTTTGTATGTGCCTTGTAAGGTCGCTGACATATGGCAGGCCAAAGTCAGGCCGTTGTTGTCAACAAAGCCAATTTCTGGGGAATCTTTCAATATGATGCGACACCCGGTGTTAGACAAAACGACACATCTATGCGATAGTTCCGAAGATAAGTGCACAATTGAATTTAGGATTACGACCAGCTCCATTGACCTTGGGTCAGGTATGAACGTCAGACCGAAGTCAAACCCGAACTGTTATTTTACTGGAAAGCCTTCTCGATGGGGTAATGTTTCGTGATCATTTGTTTTGTTTGCTTTTTGACAGAGATCGCAACAGACATATTCCATAGACTTCTTTAAGGTCAGAATAGGTCTCCGACCTGACATGATCCAAATCAGCACTCTGTTTTCGAAAACCTACTGCCTAGCGTACTCCCTGACGGCTATTGCAGCTCAAGAACATAACAAACTCGTAGGTTTCTGGTCACCATGACATCCCAAGTGTCAAACAAGGTCTTTGACTTATAATGAATTCCAGTGACCTTACGCTCAGACCAGGTATCTAGGCCCAAAGGGGCTGTATGAAGATGTCTGGAACATTTTGGAGATAACCTAGAGTGTGACCTTAATTGAAGTTGTTTGACCCGGGGGTTATGACCCTCAAGCCTACAATTTTGACCCATGTGGGTGCACATACGGGCCAACCCCACTGGGGGTTTGGTGTCTTTTGCTCTCTTAGTTTTTGAGATGTCAGGAGGGTGACATTGACCACCCCACCCGAGCGAAGTGTATTCAACCGGCTGCCCGGCCACGCGTTGTCATGAGCTCTGGTGACTGGTCGAATGCGACGCACACGGGCAAAATTTCATCGCTTTGAGTATTTCAAACTGAGACAGTGAGAGACACCAGCTCCGTAAGGTGGTTATAACATACTGTAAAATTGATCCTGCTTTATTTCTAGACTTACAGGTTGTAACGTTCGGGTCAAATACGGGTCAAGGTAAAACGCTGCATCAGTTACAGAACCTTGTACCTCCTCACACATCTGACTTACACTTAGATGCCCCTCCAAACAAGAGGTCCCTGAGCGTCGTCATAGGTCAGCTCCCTCCCCTGACCTTTAGCAAATTACAACATCAAATGTCAACAATTATTCCGGACAATTTTGGTTGTGAAACTCAAAACCAGTGTCAACAGCAACAAGTTCACGTCAGGCCAAACTTCAGGTTTTGTTCAAAGTGTCTCCAACATCTTCATGCTTGACCAAACCTTTGGACCTAGATACCTGTTCTGAGCAAAAGGTCACTGGTACTCATTATAAGTCAGGGCCTTATTTGACCTTTAGAAGGTCGTAATGACCAGAAACCTACGATGCCGCTTTGTTTTTTGAATTGCAATGAATGCCATGGAGCATGCATAGGAGGTATGTTCTTGAAAATAATGTTGATCAAGGTCATATTAGGTCAGTGACCTACTCTGATCTTTAATAAGCGCATTAAATGTGTTTGTTGCAATCCCTCTTCTTAAAACAAACGGGCATCATAAAATATCCCTTAAAGCAAGCTTTCCTGTAAAAAGATTGGGTTTGACCTCGGCCTCGGTTCACCTCCGACCAAGGTCAATGAAACTGGTCGCAATCCTACACTTTATTGTGTTTGCCACAAATGACATCTGACACATGTCTGCGCCAGCCCTCCACACAGGTGTATTTCTGTCACATCACATACCATATCACTTCATGTCACGTGACATCACATCACATATCGTATCGCGTTGCTGCTGGTCCTGCATCGCTGCCGCTAACGCCGTATTGCATTAGCAGCGAGTATGTGATACGTGGCGGGGCGCTGACAGGGTGTGACAACTCCACCTGCGTCACGTTCGTGCCACGAAGACCACGGCCTGTCTCGGGGCACTAGAGGCCGGCAGCCACACTAAGTGCGCTCCACCTCGAGTGGGTAAGGTCGGGGTGTAGCGAACGGAGAAAGGAAGGGCCGACTGGTCGTGCGGCATCTCGCATGGTTTAGACAAGCCTCCTCGTTGCAGATTTCGATGTGTGAAGCTAGTGATTTATGCAGCGTTTTTTTTTTTGTTGTTGTCAGCGATGAGTTCTGATTTCCCTGAAAAAGGAGCTCAAGGTCAATTGTGGCATGAGAACACCAAAAATTACCCTTGCTTTGCAATTTCATATGACATTCAAGGTCAAAAGCTGGGTTACATGACGGTGAACTCGATATCACCCCAAAACTCCCGACTGATTTGAAAACTGTGAGCATCAAAATATTTAAAAGCGGAGAAAAAACTAGCGCCTGTCAAAAAGTCCTGACCTATCAGGGTCACCCTTCGAGGTCAAACACGTGTTCAAAAGACGGAGAACCCCGTATCACCAACAAATTTCCGGACGATTTTTAGCTAACAAACATCAGATTATTTACCAAAGAAAGAGATAGCGTTCGTCAAAAAGTTCTGACATCTCTCAAGGTCACCCTTCAAGATCCAACGTGGGCACAACGAACGGGGAAATCTATATCGCCCAAAAATTTCCGGCCAATTTTTAACTAACAAGCATAAGAATATTCACCATGGAAAGACCTTCCGTGCATCAAAAAACCCTGACCCCTTAAGGTCACACTTCAAGGGCAAAGACGGACTCAAAGTATAGGGAACTCCATATCGCCCAAAAATTTCGGGTCGATTTTTAACTTACAAAGATCGAAATATTCACCACAGAAAAACAAGCGCCCGACAAAATGTCCTGACCTTTAAAGGTCATCCTTCAAGGTCAAACATTGGCTAAAAAAGCGGGGAATTACAAATCACCCAAAATTTACCGGCCGATTTTTCACCTACGAACATCAGAATAACTCACTCCATTTTAAACTTGCAAAGGTCAGAATATTCCCCACAAAAACAGCTAGCGTCCGTAAAAAATGCACTGACCTCTCAAGGTCATTCTTCATGGTCAGACGCAGGTTCAAACGACGAGGAACTCCATATGACACAAAAGCTACCAGCAGATTTTAAGCCTGCCACTGCCAGAATATTTCCCACAGAGAGAACTCCCGTCCGTGAAAAGTCCTGATCTCTAAAGGTCGCTTTCTCAAGGCCATTCTTCGAGGTCAAACACCGGCTAAAGGGACGCGGAACTCCTTTTCACCCAAACCTACCGGCCGATTTAAGCTTGTGAACATCAGAATATTCACCTTAGATATTTTCCTGAACTCACCTGACCTGGTGAATATTTTGATGTTTGTAGGTTAAAAATCGGCCGGTTATTTCTGGTCGCATGAAGTTTCTCGTTTTCTTAGCCCGTGTTTGACCATGAAGGGTGACCTTGAGATGTCTGGGCTTTTCGACAGACGCTAGTTCTTTCTGCGGTAAATATTCTGATGTTTGTAAGTTAAAAATCGGCCGGTGATTTTTGCTGATATGGAGTTCCTCGTCTTTTGAGCCCGCGTTTGACCTTGAAGTGTGACCTTGAGAGATCAGGGCTTTTTAAGAGACGTCAGTTTTTTCTGTGTTTAGTATTTTAATGTTTGTAAGTTAAATCTGGGCCGGAAATATCTGTATGATGACAAGCATTGGAAACAAGAGGAAAATTTTTCGTAACGTTTTCGCCATTCGACAAACCGTTTTGGCGCATCATAGGACCTATGTCACTCTCTGACTACACCATTGACCTAAGGGGTGCTCATGTCAACCTCCGCTGTCACCTTTACGCTGGTATGGGTCGCCGTCGGTGCGAAGGATGTTTGCCACCTCGTGTCATGGTGCAAGGCGATAATGAGGGGCGGCCGGCAGGGGGCAAACGCAGTGGAAGCGCACCCCATCGCCACAAATGCGGCTCAGACCTGGTCTGAAAGGATGCTCGATGGTCGGCGGTCTGTGCATGACATGATCGGGATGATTGTCGGACTTGACGCTACCTCCAATACCCGCGTTGTCATCGCTGGCAGGCGTTTAAACGCGCTCACGCATGATGACATGAGTGGTGCTAAAATGGGTTGAACAGTTGTTTATGGTACCTTCCCAAGCATTCATTGAGCAATTAGCCGTGTACGTTTGGAAGAATCCTTGTAAAATATTCATATATATGTATATACACAGATATATATATATATATATATATATACATATATATATATATATACATACATATATATATATATATATATATATATATATATATATATATCATAGCCACATGTGTAATGAGTGCGTGCTTCGGGTGCACCCGGTGAGGCGCCGCTACAGCCGGCTCATGGCTCGTCGGCGCCCTGGTACGCCTCGTTGGTGTGGACGTGTTTAGCGGCTGGCGCGGCGGACAGCGGCTGGCCATTTACATCGGCCACCGTCTCCGGCATCGGGCGGCCGTTAGTTTCGGGCAGGAGCAGGCCGGTCAGACCGCCCAACAGGGCGAGGCCGCCGAACACGGCCGACGGCGCGCTCTCGTGCAGCTCGCTCACCAGGTCCACCACGAACGGCGAGAGGGCGGCGCCCACGCGCTCCGCCAGCTGGCGCACGCCGCACGCCAGCGAGCGGACCTCGGTGGGCATCAGCTCGGCCGTGAACACGGACATAGTGTGATAGGCAGAGGAGATACCGGTCTTGGCCACCACGCCGAGCGCCAGCCAGAGCGTGGCGTCCTTCCGCGCGAAGGTGAGAATCATGGCGGCAGCCTGCAGCCACAGGACGAGGATCACTGAGGGCCGCCGTCCCAGCCGGTCCAGCAGGGGAAACACTAAGCTGGAGGGGATTTCGGCGAGGCCGGAGAACGCCGCCGCCAGATGTGGGCTTGCCGCCAGCTGCGTCGTGTCGAACGTGATGCCGAAGTAGGAGACGGCGGTGATGAAGCTGAGAAAGACGGTGATGAGTGTTCGGCGGCGCATGCCGGGCGTCCGGACCAACTTCAGCACCATTTGCAGCGGACCGTGGCCGCCGGCGGTTCGCAGTGGCCTGGCGGGACAGCGTGCTGCTCCGTGCCTCCGCCATGACCTGCAGCATCTCCTCCTCCGGCAGCACCTGCCGGCCGTTCCAGCGCGCACCCCGCCGCAGCACGGCACACGCCTCCGGGAACCGGTCTTGCAGCCAGCCAGCGGGGCGACTCGGGCATCAGCCAAAAGTTGAACAAGAAGATAAGACACGGCACGGCGTACGCCAGCGGGAG